TCTGCTTGGCATGCAGAAGGTCCCAGGTTCAATCCCCAGCATCTCCAACTAAAAGGACCAGGCAGTAGGTGGTGGGAAAGACCTCTGCCTCAGAGCGTGGAGAGCGTCTACTCAGACGAGACTGACCTTAATAAGTCAGCTTCACATGTCTGCTCAGCATCACCTCCAAGGCACCAGCCGAACCCCCTGCCCAGAGCTTCTCCCCTTTGTCGTCATACCCTCGTCGTCGCTGCTGTCGGAATGGGGACGCTTGATACGACGCCTCTTCCTCTTCAGGCCTTCTTCAGGCCTTCCGCCTCTCTCTCATCATCCGACATCTCTGCCCTCTTTGTTCTGCAAACAAACCAGAAGAGTAAACTCAAATGCACTCGGGGGACGGGGGCAGCAGCTGAAGGCGTTATTTGTCGTGAAGTTTATACTGGAGAGAATCCAGTAACACCTGGCACCTGTACAGTATGTATGAGAGCTAGGAAAACTCCACGTACGCTATCTTATTTAGATCCGTGTTGGTCTGAAGCGGCGGGACAAAGGCACCTTTAAGACCAACAAAGCTTCATTCTGGGTTTTAGACAGATTCGTGAAGGATAGGGCGCTCAGCTACTACCCTTATTGACTAAAAGGAACCTCCGCATTCAGAGTCAGCAAAACCTCTGAATCCACCACATCACACTTGTCTCTCTCTATCTCCCTCCTTACATTACTGCGGTCATACTAAACATTTAAAGAAAAACACACACCAAGCAGCGCTGTTCTGGTGCTCCTAAGAGTTTCATCGTCAGGCTAAAACAACCCTCCCGTCCCGGCAGCAAAGGTAAGTAGATGCACTTTTCTGTTTAAATGGGTCATCTCAACAGAGCAGCGGCGGTATTTTCCAGTCCAGAAAAAGGAGAAACTAGAGCCACCCTGGTGGGTTCGGCATTCATACTGGACCGAGGCTGCTCAATATCACCATGTCACTTACTTCTACATCACCTCAGGAGAGGGGCTGTGGCTCAGTGGAAGAGCCTCTGCCTGGCTTGCAGAAGGTCCCAGGTTCAGTACCCGGCATCTCCAGCTAAAAGGACCAGGCAGTAGGTGATGGGAAAGACCTTAGAGGCACAGAGGTAGAGCCTCTGCTTGGCATGCAGAAGGTCCCAGGTTCAATCCCCAGCATCTCCAGCTAAAAGGACCAGGCAGTAGGTGGTGGGAAAGACCTCTGCTTGAGACCCTGGAGAGCGTCTACTCAGATGAGACTGACCTTGATAAGTCAGCTTCACGTATCTGCTCAGCATCACCTCCAAGGCACCAGCCGAACCCCCTGCCCAGAGCTTCTCCCCTTTGTCGTCATACCCTCGTCGTCGCTGCTGTCAGAATGGGGACGCTTGATCCGACGCCTCTTCCTCTTCAGGCCTTCCGCCTCTCTCTCATCATCCGACATCTCTGCCCTCTTTGTTCTGCAAACAAACCAGAAGAGTAAACTCAAATGCACTCAGGGGGACTGGGGCAGCAGCTGAAGGCGTTATTAGTCGTGAAGTTTATACTGGAGAGGATTCAGTAACACCTGGCACCCATACAGTATGTATGAGAGCTAGGAAAACTCCACGTACGTTATCTTATTTAGATCCGTGTTGGTCTGAAGCAGCAGGACAAAGTTTCATTCTGGGTATTAGACATTTTCGTGAAGGATAGGTCGATTGACTAAAAGGAGCCTCCGCATTCAGAGTTTGCAAAACCTCTGAATCCCAGAGCCAGGAGGCAACGTCAGGAGAAGGCCATGGCCTCTATGCCCTATGCAGCGCTTTTCTTGTGCTCCTAAGAGCTACATCGTCAGACTGAAACAACCCTCCCATCCCGGCAGCGAAGGTAAGTAGATGCACTTTTCTGTTTAAATTATTGGATAGTTTTGGTTAAACGGGAGTACTTTATTGCTGCCGCGGTTGTGCATTCCTGTGTACGTCCTCCTCAAGGTGATCACGCGGAGACCTTGGGTACCTTCAAAAGGGAATTAGATAAGCATGTGGAGCAGAGGTCCATCAGTGGCTATTAGCCACAAGGTATAGATAGGAGCTCTGGGGCAAGTGATGCTCTGTCTTCTTGGTGCTGGGGGGGGGGGTCAACAGTGGGAGGGATTCTAATGTCCT